AAGGATTTTTCGGAGGGGGTTAAAGATGGGGATCGGGAACTGGGAGGTGTGGTGTCGATTGGGGCGCCGGTGGGGTTATCTGGGAAAGCACCTGCGTCTGGGACTGGGAAGAGTAGGACGCCGGTGTTGGTTGTTGCGGGGAAGGAAGATGGAGGGGAGAGGAGTACGGCTGTGAGTGCTGCGGGCGTGAGGAGGACGAAGGAGTGGTTTGAGTTCGTTGAGGTGAGCAGGTATAAGAGGCGCGGGGATGGGATGCCCCGGAATGCGGATGAGATGAGACCCGTGATGGAGTTTTTGGCGAGGAGGTTGAGGAGTTATAAGGGGGTACCGGAGGGGAGTATTGAACTTAGTTAGGGGGGGATTAAGTTATGGGTCAGATATGGGAAGGTGGATGATGGGATGAGTCTATTGTACATGACATGCTTAGCTAGGTACCCTATCTGCTGGCAACTGCCTCTACTGGAGCTCCTTCAGAGCTGCGCGTGCGCGCTCGATCGTCTCTCTGGCGTCCTTCTCCGCCGTCACCTCTTCGACCTGTCGGCCACCCTCGCGGGCGGTCTCGCGCAGCTGCGTCTCCGTCTCCAGCAGCGCGGTGCGGCCGTCTTCGCGCACTTCGTTCTCGAACCAGTGTCGCGCGGACTCCCACTTGCGCTGTTGGCGGCGTAGCGAGTAGATCAAACCGATGGCGGCCATCGTGCAGGTCTCGTAGATGGTGGCAGCCGGCAGCGAGACGTAGGTTAGCGCTGACAATGCCGAGGTCAGGGTGGTCGTGGACATGCTAAACAAGACCAGACGCTGCGCCAATGCCTGCAGCGACGGCACTGTCGTCTCCATGAGCCGGCGACGACTGGTCGCAATCTGTGCTGGCCAGGACGTCTGCTCCTCTTGCATGGGAGTCGCATCGGTCAATCCGGCCTGCTGGAACCGGCCGGCAGTCCAGATGACCTCTTTCTCGGCCTGACGCAGGTACTTCCGGTCCAGAATCTCCGACGTGATCATTCCCACGTCGTCCACATGCCAGAACAGCTTCCACCAAGCCAGTCCGCGCCACGGCTTGCTGGCAAACCCTTCCTCGAGTGAGCTGCGGAGCTCCGTGTGCCCGCGCTCCGCCCACTCGGACACGGATCGTTCAAGCATATCGCGAGTCTCCCACGACACAGCGCCACTCTCCTGCTCCAACAGCTTTCTCTTCTCAGCAGCGGCTGCACCCGCCTCCGCGGCATCCAAAAGAGAAGTGATCAACGTCCGCAAGGACGGATCCAGCGTCCCTTCCTCAGCTCGCAGCGAAGACAACCAGTCCACCACTGGCTGCACACCACTGCTGTTCCAGCCGCGTTCGTAGAGCGACGCATTCTGCACTGACTCTCGGAATGTTGCCAACGCCTCATCCGCCTTGTCAATGTCCACGAACGCGACCCGGCCGTCGTACTTCTGTGGCTCCGTGACCGCCAGCTCAATAGCCCCAAAGACCGACACAGCTTCTTTCTTCAAGTCCGACCGCGCCATCAGCCCGCTATACGCCAGAAACCCATCGACACCGCTACCGCATACAATGCTCCGATGCACAGGATACCGCACCATATTATGCCGGCCGGAATGCGACGTGCGGATCGTAACCGTAGGCACGAGGAAGGTGTCAGCCGTGAACGGGTGAGACTGAGTAGCGTCCGCGACTCCAGCCGACTCAGCACCGAGCGTCGTAACGAGGATTTCCAAATTTCCCTTCTTCAGAATGGGCGAGGGCACCGAGATCGTAGGGAGGAGATCGTTGGGGATTGTTTCGGAGACTTCGCCGTACCTGCATATATCTTAGTACCTAGCCCCCCATTCTTAATACCATGTGTTTGTAAATGTGGACCTACCGAATCAACAATCCCCTCTCCGTATCCTCACCATACGCATCCAATGCATCCTCCCAGCTCTCCCTCGAATTCAACGGATCCGCTAACAACAACCGAACGAGCCTGCGCGCCGCAGTCGCATCATTCAAACCCAGAACTGGCCCAATCATTAGCATTCCCCAACCAAAACATGAAATACTAGAAGAGAGAGAGAGAAGAGAAAGACCTACCCGCAACTCTAACAACCGGCTTCTCACTCTCCAATCCCCTCAACGCAAGCTGCAACCGACTCAAATTCACCTGCTCCGGCGCAACATCCTTGACCCGGTTCAAAGCTTCATGTAGATCCTTCAATCGGGGAGGGATATGTCTTGTGTGAACGACAGAAGTGGTCGCAATGCCGCTACGCTGCAAGGATGCCCATGATTGTTGTTGATGTTGTTGCTGTGGTAATTGTAGTCGGGTTCGACGCGAGGAGAGGGAACGGCGCCAAGTGGAACAAGACGGGCAGTAGAATACTGATGAGGAGGATGAGGAGGAGTCTTGAATCTGCGACAGGCTCTTGGAGAGCGTGCCGCGGAGTTTGGGAGGCATTGACTGCGTATTTGGTGAAGAAGGATGGGATGGGGGAGGAGGTGGTGGAGGATGTAGGCAGGGCCGGTCGGAGATTCTGGCGCGGGACTTTCGGCGGTCTTGGCGTAGCGTAGCTTATAGCTTAGATTTGAAAGAGTGGCTGAGTATGGGGTAACGATAATCCACAGTAATCAGATTGACTATTTTAATAAACTAGTCTGTACAATACGAACAGCTCAATTCATGGTGTATCGATTCATCAACTCATGGTCGAGTCGTCACGGACGCTCGATTGCTGTGCAGGAATTACACAAAAGCCCCCCCCCCCTGTCCACCTCTCCATTATGCAATACAGTAATCTCTCGCGACAATGTATAGGAGCTACTCAACTGCAACTGTCACCACGCTCGCGTTTTTGGGGTGACAGTTGATTCGGCCCATACACGGAGTAAATAGTACCCCGAAATGCAGTACCTCTGCATGCCGCTTCGAAAGATGCTGGTTCAGATGGAACACCCAGTTACTTCCTAATCGCTCATGCTTCTCGAGAGTCCCGAGTAGCATCCCTTTGTCGCCGAGTCTTGCCCGATCCCGCCGACCTGGAAATTGTTAGTACGATGGTCCGGAACAATCGTTCTGCTTCACTTACATGCTAATCCGCCTGGCCACAGTTGCCAGCCCGGCATCGTTTTCTGCCTCATGATGCGCCCGCTCAAGGGCAATGCGTCTGTCTTCCTCGCTGCGTCGAATGACCTCCTCCTGCGAAGGGGGCAGACGTTCATTCTGCAGATCGACCTTGCGAGCATCTTCGAAGTTGGTAATAGCCTGCTTGATACCCTCCGCTCCCAGCATCAGAGTACCCGCCGGGAGACGACCTCCAGCAGCGGTCTTGAGTTCAGTGACCCGCTCGGACTCTTCACGCAACACCTGGAATACACGCGACAGACGTCCAATGGCAAGAATCTTGTTCTTGATCGCACGTCGCTTGAACTCGCTGCTCTCAACATCCATCGCTGCAGGAGGAGAGGGGGGTGCGGCGGTGGGCGAGACCGACGTGGGGGTATCATCTTCAAGCTCCTCCTTAGAGCAGGTGTTGAGAATGGCAATAAGCATGTCCGTAATCTTCTCACCGACGAAGGGAAGAGACCAGGTGAAGACGTCCATGAAGTTGGGGAGCCAGTACGGGTGAGGCGTGCAGTTGAACTGTCGGATATTCATGACGTTGTTCTCGTATTTCAGGACGGCGGCCTTGTTGTTGTAGACATCCAGGTAGTTGGGAGCACTGAAGATGGTCATGACACTGGGGAAACCGGTCGTACGTGTCTTGCGGTACATGCGGTAACCGGCATCTTGTGCCTCGTGCGCACGAATGATGGAGAGGAGATTGTTCTTTTCGAGGAACGCGCACGCCGCGGGGTACGAAAAGAAATACGAGCATCCGCGGACGCTGTTGTGGATGAAGTAATCTCCAGTCTTCTCCTGCCCAAAGTCTTCCAGAGGATCGGCCCAGAGGATGTCGCACATCAAGCCATGAGTCGGGGGCTCCCTAAAGCGATCAATCTGTCGCTAAGTCAGCCACCAGTCCAACCGATGTAGTGTTCAGCCTATAACATACCGCCTTGATGTCTTCCAGAGTGTGCAGCTCGGGGCTGAGACCTCCATGGATACAGAGGAACTGCTTATTCATGACCGCCGCCAGCGGCAAGGAGCAAAACGATTCAATGCAAGCCTCGTAAATGCGCTCGCTGTATTTGTGCTTGCACTCGAGCTTAAAGGTGAAGTAGTCCGTCAAGTGCCGACATTCGTGATTACCCCGCAGGAGCCAAAGCGTATTCGGATACCAGATCTTCAGAGCCCAGAGATACAGGACACACTGTAGCACGCGAGTCAGTGGGTGTGGCAATTACCAGACAGTTTGCGATCAGACGAACCTCAATACTGAAGTAACCTCTATCCACATAATCACCGAGGAAGAGATAGCGCGTCTCGGACGGATCTCCCCCGACTTCGAAGAGCTTCATTAAATCGTAATATTGTCCGTGAACATCACCGCACACGGTGATGGGCGCATCCATCTCCAGCAGGTTGGGTTCAGCCCTGAGAAGCTGAGTACCGGCCTGTATGATCCATAGCGCCTGATCTTCAGTGAGACGACCTTCGCGGTAGAAGTGCTGCTTGAGGAACTGCAGGTTGGGCTTTGAAGGGTCTTCACGAGACCAGAACAGGTCGTCCGGCGGGGTGTTCAACGCCGGCGCTTGCACCTCTGAAAGACCATAGAGTAATTAGAAGGGCGTTCATCCCGATAATAAAGTAGAAGGATGGTATGAAGAAAATCATTGTGGCGTTACCTTTAATTACTCGCTCCAAGGTCGACACCTGAGTGCCATCTTCCATAACATGTAACGTAAAGTCGATCTCCGGGACCGGCTTTTTATCCGTCACCGCACGCGCGATAGTGCGATCCATGGTGACTCAAGTGACAGGGAGGACGTAGATCTTGGATCTGGGGAAATCACAAGAACGTCGTGCCCCGGGGGGTTGCGAGGAGGCGAAGAAAAGGGGAAAGACACCAGCGCGGAGGCCAGTTGTTGGTGGGGGGTTAAGCGGCGGCGGGATTGGATTTCACACACGAGACAGGCGGAGATCGCGAGGACTGGCCGTTGTAGGAACAAGCTGGACGGATCACCAAAAATCCTACGAGGTGGCGATGCCGAAGATGACAAGGAGGGGAGCGAAATAGGGTTGGAAAAATTGAGGCTAAAGCGTGGGTCAGGGACAAGACGAGAGGGACGAGCGAAGAGGAGGAAGATGGGGAGAGGCGCCGGGCAGTGCAACCCGAATAGGAGATGGTCGGCCTTCAGCTCGATATCGTCAAGGCTGGAGAAAAGAGGCTGAAAAGACAGCCTGACCACCTTTTCTGCAGAGAGTCGCTAGAAATGATGGGCTCGGAAGAATAAGCCAATTACCGTGTAAGATGCAAACTACTAAGTAACTAGCCCCCCCCTCTTCGTGCTCTAAGATTCATTGAATCTAATCTCTCTCCCTCCCTTCATTGCGAGAGACTCCCTCGACGTCAGACCAACCGTAAATACGGTAATTCTCAGCCGGCGGATAACTCCCGCTTCGTTACAGTCCCTGTAATTAATTACGCCGCCCGCGGGGGAATTCATGCCATCATTACTCATGTAGACGGAGATACTCTTTGTCTTGTCTCTCCTCGCTCTCTCCTGTTACTCTCAATTCAATCCATCATCCACCATGTATGAGTCCTATCGTCAGTAACGTCTTCCATCTCCTGTTTGGCTTATCAACTGACTAAGACAGGCCCCCATCCCCTACTGGCTCAGGTCCCCCTGACCGTTTCCCCCTTCATCAATCTCCCCACTTCCGTCACTCTCCCCTACACCTACAAGTCCGTTCCCTCGACCATCCCCCCTTCAGTAACAGTCGACTCAAGTAACCCCGATGTCAAACCTCGCTACGTGGTCTCAGCAAGTGGCGAGCATGCTGCCTCCCCAGAAGAAATCCTAGCATCCTGCAACGCCCTTGAGCAGCACCTGAACAAAACGCGCGCCGAAGCCGAGAAGGCAATCCGGGGCTGGGAGGACTCAATCACCCAGCGCGACCTGGCAGAGAAGCGACGTGTGGCTCCCGGATGGCTAGACAGAGACGAGAAACTACTTCAACCGAGTAACGCGGCTGCTGGCCCTAGAGCACAGGGCCAACCTCAACCTAGTCTCTTAGACAGCTCGTTCTCCGACCCCAGTGCGGCCGCACTACCGTCCATGGTACCACGAGATGAAGGTGAAGAATTGGATAGAGCATTTGGTGGACTGGACGTGAAATGAGAGCTGCGCGCAGATGTTTTGAAATACAACATACCGGGGGTGGCTTCGGGGAAGGCCATGAACCGCGCTGTGGCTGCTGAAACCGCTGCAGGTGGATGCTATGGGCCCTTGCTTTGGCGGGGATAGTAGCGCACTCCTTCGTCTCATGCCAGGATAAAGTTCAAGCTTGTGCGCACCATAATCTGCAAGAGATCACCAGTGCAGGGCGCTGTGCATCTGAACTAGCTGAACCGCGGCAGTCCGCAACCTGCGCCAGCAAGAGCACAGCCATATAACCATATCTGGTACCCATAAGCAGCTAGCTCAAACAATCACCAATAAACGAGCCTAGCATCAATCATAATAACATCACATATTCCCAAATAATTTCCGCAAGAGTACACCTATCCAAAGCAGCGAAACCGACGTAGAAACAAACCGTGGTAGACCCCCCACCCGCCCGGCGGATATCAACTGCCATCATCAGCTACTGATAATCTAGCTTTGCTCCGCCCGCAAAAGCTCCATCATCTTCTTTTCTTCCCTCCTCTCTCACCACCACCACACTTCCTCAACCTCACACCTCGAAACTAGCAACTCCGTCCTCCAAAATGGAATCCATCGCTGCACCCCCCGACACAACAACTTTCATCCCCCTCGCCGAACACCAATCCCGCACCCCAAGCTCCTTCCACTCCGGTCCGCCAATCCTCTACTCCCACCACCAAAACTGCAAACTCGTGCTCCTGGAGCGCGAAGCCCTCGCAGTCCCAGCACTAGGTGCTCTGCGCGAAGCCTCCACCGCAAATGGCACCACTGAAGAAGAGGGAGACAAGGAGATCGTCATTCCCGGTGTGAACGTGTGGGTTACGTCTGAGTGAGTAGCCCGACCTAACCAATCTTTCATCCCTCCACAACCAGAACTGTATGCAAGAGATGCTAATAACAACCCAGAAAATTCCTCCTCCACAACCCCACAACCAACACCGGCCTCTCAATCCCCTACCCCTCCATCTCCCTCCACGCCATCCAGCGCCTCCAGCTCCCCAGCTCCGAAGACCAAGTGCAAGGCCTGTACATGCAAATCGCCAACCCGACTACCTCCTCCTACACCTCCGCCGACGACGAAGAAGACGCCCTCACAGTAACAGTCGTCCCGGAGACCCCCACCCAAGAATCTTCTTCCCCCGCCGAGGAAGGGGACGAAAAGCCCGAAACGCCCACCCAGACCCTCTACGCTGCTGTGTCTGCGTGCTCGAATCTGCACCCGGATCCGGTTGAGCCCGGTGATGAGGACGAGGATGATTATGAAGGAGAGGAAGGTGCATTTCAATCTGGGTTAGTGTCGATGGGCAGTGCGGAGGGCGGGTTGCCGCCGCCGGTCGAGGGGAGTTCGGGATGGATTACGGCGGAGAATATGCATGAATTTTTTGATGAGGAGGGAAATTGGATTGCCGGTGGTGAGGAGCCGACGTTGCCTTTGGGGCCGGGGGCTGGGACAGTGAGGCAGAGGGAGGAGGATGAGGGGGCGGTTGATGGGCAGGAGGGTGTTAATGGGGATGGAAATGGAGGGGAGGAGACGAAGTGGAGGAGGACAGACTAGAAGGACTCTTTCTCTCCTCCTCTCTTGGGCTCTTTGCTCCTATTTGTTTGTATCTCTACTTACCTATGGTGTATGTATGCATAGGTGTATGTTGGGGAATATTCCTGTAATGATAGATGCTAGTAGCTTGTTATGAAACAGATCAATTACTGAGTGCTTCGAGAAGATCATGGCCATCATGTTTAGATTAAGGTATTTTTATTAGTCCTACCAATTACCTACGTTCATCTTTACAGTGGAGGGTAGACACGCCCGCACGCTAGCCAAGCAAAGGAAACACGAGAAACAATCAACGCCGCTGCCAACTATCAGTCCTTCCATGCACCTATTCTTTCAGGAACCCATCCCCATCATACAAGCTTCCCGGTGTAGCTGCTCCAATTCCCAGTCCAACAGGCTTTTTCGTCGGGGTTCGAAATCCGTGTCGGGCACTGCCGGGGCCGGGCTTTAATCGGTGGCTCTTTGCCCGCCCAACTTGTGCTGAATGTTCGCTGGGCGAAAGAACTGAAGAAGTCCGCGGACCCTTTCCCTTGGGTTCCGAAGCCCGGTCTTCCCAAATGGGAACTATGATACCGCTGTTCGCAGTTGGCGGTTTTGGCACAGCGGCCGCTGGCCGCCAGAGCTGCGCCTGAGAGTGTCTGATCGGAGAAACAATCTGATGCGGACTACCGTGGTACCGCGGAGCCACCATGTTTTGGGGGTCATTCTTCGGACGCAATGGTGATTCGGCTGCATTTCTAACTGGTTCCTTGCCCATACTGGGACCACGCGAATGACGCATCGGCGGACTTGACTGCGTCATGGCATTATCATCAAGGGGATTCAGTGAGCGGAAGCTGCTGCGTGCTGTTGATCGTGGCGGAGGTTGACGCGGTCCCTTGACGGCTGTACGGCGCGGACTGCCAGGGTTCGAGGAGTTTTCAAAACCCGTTGGTGAGCTGTTGTAATGTGGAATCATCCAGACCGGACTATTCTTTTCCGGAGATGGCGTCTTCGACAGGCTGGTATCAATCTTGGGGGGCGGTAGAGTCGTCACAAGATCAGGCAGGGACTTCTCCATGTCCATAATACTCAGAGTGCGTTCCCCGGCATCGGTAGGGGAGTTCACGCTAAGCTTGGGCGGTCCTGCCTGCGAGTTGCGGGGTGGCTCAGCTGTAATCTCCGTAACTCGCGGGTTCTCCTTCTGCTGCTCGTCTTGGCTGAATCGACTCACTGAAAGGCCTGAACCGTTGGACTGAAGTGAAATTTGAGAGATTGATGAATTTGGAACTTGTGCCCGGCTGGTATCGATCTCTTCGGTCTCCTCGGGCTCCTCGGCCGTGGGCGAGAACACTGGGCCACTAAAGGTGATTGGAGGATGTATTGAGATCCGAACGCAGTTCTGCCGCCGATGGCCTTTGCGAGTGCCACTGCTTCCTTTGAGTGCAGAGGGAAGAGGGGGTTTAAGATGGCTATTCGGGCCTAGCAGAGGACCATCCGGAATTCCAGTAGAACTAGGCTTCAATCGGGGATCAGTGCTCATGACAGAATTGCTCATCACATTGTAAAATGGATCGAGCTCTTTCCGCTGATCGCTATACATCGAACGCCGCTGCATTTGACTGAAGTGTGGCACCAAGGCTCCATTAGGTACTGGATTGAGGGAAGGTGGACGGCTCAGATCCAGAGGCTTCACCCACAGGGACGAGTCTCGCTTGGCTTTGTTATCAGTGAGAGACTCGCTCCGTCGTGGCGATGGACTGATGCGTTCCGACGAATGATTCGGACTCCGTGTGGTCAAGCTCCGACGCGGAGAGCTGCGGGGCGATTCGAGCCTCTGGGCTTCCCACGCGGTGCCAGAACTTGACGGAAAGACGAATTGAGATGGTACAGCTGGAATTACCCCAAGACCTCTTCGGTCATATTCCATCCGTCCGACATCGTTGGCATCAAACGGCGCGAACGTAGGACACGGAGGCAGAGCTGGCGATGTGAAAGTACTGTCGACATTTGTTGACGTTCTTCTGCTGTCTTCCAAAATAGAGCTGTCTGCGGTTTCGAGGCTCAACGATGAGAGGCAGGTCGAGTCGTTCCTTGACAAACGGAAGCGATTTGGTGGATAGGCACATGGTGGTGGGGGTACAGGTTGCTCGGGTGCAGACCCGGCCGTTTGAGCAGTGATGCTTCCCCCTCGTACCCTGCTATTTGATGGGTTGCAACCGTCCTGTTTATCCTCCATGAGCGGGTACAGGCTGCCGGACCGCTCCCTATGATGCTTCAGTGGCCATGCCCCAGAGCCTGGCCGGCTGGTGAGACTTGCTCTCAATTGCTCTTCTTCGCGGTCTGGAGTATGCCGCGGTGTGGTCTCCGTTGCCAGCTCGAACGCACCCTCGACAGCAGAGTTCGGCACGCCATCATCAATTCCAGATACTGTCGGTGAAGTCGATTGCCGCTTCTCTGAATGCTCTGTCAGTGGAGACAGTGAGCTGAGGCGTTGTGGTCCTAGGAGATGTCGTGACAGTCGCGCTGAGCGGCTTGAAAGGGACCGCGATAGTGAACGACGTATGTCACGGGCTTTTTCATCCAAAGGAGATGACGTGTCGGAGTCCGCAGGGGATTGGATGAGACTCTCGCGAGATGAAAGAACTCCCCACTCAGACGGCTTTCCGTATGGGAGCTGTCCATACTGTCGCAATGCGGTGCCCTCCTCCCGCGAGAGTTCCGTCAGCGTCTCCTCCTGGTATTGTTGCAGAGCATATCCATCCTGCTTCGCGTTTGCCACCGCCAGCGACAGACGATCCTGACGGACTCTTATCCAGATGACCGTGCCAACTATAGCAGAAACTATAAAGACGACGGAGCAGCTCACGGCTATCGCTATTACCGTGGTCAATGGCGGCATTGTCGCTTCTTCCTGCTTTCGGTGCCAGAGCTGGCAGACCCTGGTTCCTTTAGACTTGTGAAGATGCGTTAACCCATACACTCGAGCTGGTACCTGGCCCAGTGTCTATACCAGTTCCACAAAGGTTCCGGACGGCATTCAACGGCGCCGAAGACCAGGCAAGAGTAGCAATTGCTAGCCACGGAAACGCCAGGACAAGAATAATCAGAGAACAGAGAGATCCATGATGGATGGGAGGAAACGCGCGCTCGTGAGGGAGCATTGCGTTTGTTATGGCAGCCGGCTGGGGCATGGGAATGTGGTAGCATTATTGTCGGCTCGCGAGGAATGCTGCGATGTCAACCAACCATCCTCCCCGGCAGGCTACTAACTGGCAAGAGGGAGGTCTCATCAAACTGAAGCTCGGTCCCAGAATTCCTGTGATGTCTCAATTCAGAAGATAACTCGAGAGTAGACCATCGCCAAGATGCAAGCAGATCTACAGGAGGCCGTAGAGTTTCCACTGATAACTGGAAGAATGTTAGCGAAACAATCAAGGATTGAGCACTCCTGGAGCTCGTGGAACCTGGGAGATTCCAACTATTCCCTCTTCATGGAGACCGTTATCGTGCGAACAACCATCTTTCGTACTATTAGTTAGCAACAGCAAGTACTACTACTACTTTGTTAGAACTGTACGTCCTGGTTGGAGGGAATCCAGCTGTTTTTCTTGGCATGCCATATGGCGCCGCATGCAGGCTTGAGCCTGACAAAACCATGAGTATCGCTGAGGCCATGAAACATATGCTTTAGCAACGCAGCTCCCTGCGCGTGTCTATCCTTCTTCGCAGCTTCGCGTGGTAAAAGCGCAAGTGGAGGTGGAAGTGGAGATTCCCCGGGAGACCCCAATCGGGCAGCCGCTGTCACGGGGTACAGGACGGAAATACACCGAGTCCGGATCCGCCGGCCTCTCGGATTTGGAGAAACAGACGATGTTGATCAACCTCGACATAGTACTCGGCGTTCAGATCTCGTGTCTCCTGATGTTTCCGAGGTCATCGTCTGATGAACGGCGTCATATGCCAAAAGAATCCCGATCCCGATACCGATGGGGACTCTCGGTGAGATAAAGAAGACAAACGAATGCTACAGAAGCAGGGCATGGGGCGCCTGTTGTCAACCCACGCCCGAATTCCCCAGTCTGGGCCATTTCACCCGCCTTGGAGACTCTGGGACCGCTTAGCGTCACCATAACCCACCAGACGAGAAAGCTGGATGGAGTCAGCGTGGCCAGTCGGGGCAACTAGACTTATCCTCGATAGCCAACCCAAACTCTGAATAATGCGACTCCAGAGAAGGAGCCAACCATTTGCATAGAGGGGGGGCAATGGCCCAGTCGACCCCTCACCGGCGCGGGGGTCTCCTAGTGGGCTTGCTGTCCTAATAGTGTTTTCGTTGATGACTGTAGCGGTGTATATCTAAGCTCCAATCCGCGGTATAAAGCTGCCTGCCGCCTGGCTAGGCCGTCTCTCATCTTCACCTCGTTCTCCTGCCTTCTCCTCAAGAATTCTCTTTTTTTACTCCCCTCTCCGACCAATAGACCCAGTAATGGCTGCCAACCCTGTGGAAAATGGACTATTTGTCCATAACAACACTACCGCTCCAGCCCACCCCGGCTTGCTGAGCATGTTCTCACTGAAGGGCAAGACTGCCATCGTTACCGGCGCCGGTGCTGGCATCGGCCTTTCCGTAGCTATTGGCCTGGCTGAAGCTGGTGCAAATGTGGCCTTGTGGTATAGCAGCAACCCCAACTGCATCGAGCGGGCCGCGGAAATTGCCTCCAAGTATGGTGTCCAGGGTCAGTAGCCCTCAAACCATTTTCCCCACTTACCGTCAGACATACTTTACTAACGCTCAATCTAGCCCAGGCGTACAAGGTCGAAATCACCAAGCCCGAAGCCGTGCAGGCGGCCGTTGACCAGGTTGTGAAAGACTTCAATGGCCGACTAGACGTTTTCATCGCCAATGCCGGTATCCCCTGGACTAAAGGTCCCATGGTTGACGGTCCACTGGACCACTACTCGAGTGTTGTCGACGTCGACCTGAACGGAACTTTCTACTGCGCCAGGGCAGCGGCAACCCACTGGAGGAGACAAAAGGAGGAGGGCACCGATATCAATGGTAACGCGCTCAACAACTTCACCTATGGCAGCTTTGTGGCCACCGCTTCCATGAGCGGTCACATTGTCAACTTCCCTCAGATGCAGGCAGCATACAACGCCTCCAAAGCGGGTGTCATCCATCTTTGTAAGTGGAATAACCTTGTAGGCATAGACTTGCACTGTACTAATCCCCTATGCAGGCAAGTCGCTGGCTGTCGAGTGGGTTAAGTTTGCGCGTGCCAACACCGTTTCTCCCGGATACATTGCGACAGAGATCTCGAATTTCATCCCAGATGATGTCAAGGGCATCTGGAAGGACAAGATTCCCATGGGTCGCGAGGGAGAACCCGAGGAGCTGAAGGGCGCGTATCTGTACCTGGCATCGGATGCATCCAGCTACACCACTGGAGCAGACATTGTGGTTGACGGCGGCTACTGCGCCCCGTAGGCTTTTGATGATATAGATGGCATTTTATGATCTGTACATTTCAACTTACAGCGATACATATGAACGGTAGATTACATGATAGACGAAAATGAACGACTGAACTTCTTCGCGATCAAGTCCGCTCGTGGCGCTTATTAGATCCAACCAAGCCAGAGCCAAGGCACCAGGCTGACCACTGCCACAAAGCCATGCAGAAGCCGTGGCTTGCAGGTTGCAGGGCTTTAATATTCGGGATCGGCGGTGATGTAGGCCCGCGATCGCGTGAGGTCCCTAGAAGTAGATCATAATAATGTGACCTATTTTCCCTCACACACCAGGGCCTCGGCATGTTCTCTGTTATGTATTATCCCATAGCGACAACAAAGAAACCCATCAGATCAAATGGTAGTAGTAGTATCAGATGAAGAAGGCCCCTCCTGTACCTGTTCCACCACCCACTTCACCACCGAATCCACCATCCCATTGACCCATTCCCCTTCATCTTCAACTCCATCCGCCGAATAATAATCTTCTTCCATTTCCGGAATAGATGGAAAGGGCGGCTCCATGACCTCCGGGTATATGACGGATGTATCTGGGTCGAAGTATCGAGAGAGAGGGGTTGCGGGGGGATAAGCAGGGCTATTGGTGGTGAGACGATAATCACTGCAACGGGATGTAGTATTGTTAGTCATCTTTCATCCATGACATTGTGCGTGGGGTGTAATTCTCATTGCTTGATGTGCCTGGTAAGTTTAGTAGGATGGGTGAGATTCTAAGGATGGAGCTGATGTGATTGGTCGAGCGACGTGGGGTGTTGTAGTTGTAGTATACATACCGGTGAAGATGATCTAGTTCGACTTCGTGTTCGTGGATGGGGAGACGGGTGTAACTCCGAGGAGTATGTTTCCGGAATATAGAGCGAATGGCCTTGCGGTGCTGGATGAGGATGAAGAGGAGGGAGAGGAGGAGACAGGTTGTTGGGAAGAGAGGAATCATGTTGATGGAGTATGTAGATGGTAATTCTCCTATTGCTCAGGCAGAAATCTGTTAGTGTCGAGAGGAAGTTTTACTATGCGACATGGATACATGTCACCATCTACTCAAACAAAACAACTGTTACCAACATTATTTACATATAGTTTCTTCCTCAGCTTCTTTCGTCAAACCGAGACAATAATATGAGGTAGCTGAGCCGGATCCATAATCCGAAGTAGCTCGCAAGACTGACGCATCTCTTCAGTCATGTCAGTCATATATACCCCTAGAAGATTTTTTTTTTTTTTTTTTTTTTAAGAAAAAAAAAATCCCACATACCACTTCAATTTTGTCTATCCCCCATTATTACGAATTCCAAGAAGACAAATAACCATGGCCGAACTTGCAGAAACTAGGATATCTTCTCTGAGAGAAAAGTTGAATTCTCCACCCAAGGCCTCAATCCAAATCCTGGGAACACATATCACAGACAAACAGGTCAAAAACGTTGATTTTGATCTTTGGGTTGACTGTACAAAGGTGTCTGGAATCAGATATATTTCGGCATCAACCAGTGCTGAAAGGACAGGTTACTCCCGGCAAATCCCAAACCGGAGACAGGACAATCCCGAGAATATGCTGGAAAGTTGGCTATACAACTGACTATATGGCAGTGCAGAAAAAGACCGAAGGTAATATTAATCTGCTCATTCCCCCTCAGTTCTCTCTATCTTATACTAATAATATGGTTTACCCAGCTGGTCACTGCACAAAGTAGTATCTTTTGGGGAGGAAGAGTACGCCGCGATGAAACTCTACATAAGGCGCCTGGCACGCGAAGCCAGTTATGGGGGCACGGTTGAAGTAATAGCACATATTCCTTCTTCTGAGCCAAATGATAATACTCTGGGACATGAGAGTGCACGCAATGCACGGCTCCAAGTTGAATGGAGATTCGAGTGCCCTTTCATCCCCACTGACGACTATTGGGACACATTGGTCAGGTTCGCGATGGTGGACGGGAAGAAGGGCTGGATGGATCCGAACGCGCCAATGCCATGTTACGGGCAGTCTCTACTCCGAAGATCGCGCGCTATTAACGGTGTTAACTGGGGACAGAATACGGGTGGCAGCACATCTACTACCTAGAGAACTACGTTGGCCATGGGGGTGTGATGGTGAGCCACCAATAGGATAAATGGTTTTTTCGAAACTATTGACCAACAGTGTCCTTTGAAATATTGCTTGTTGTAGTTTGGGGTTTTGATTCTGACCTAGATCTCATATTCATGAAGATCTTGCTTGCTTATATATTCTAGATATGCCCTGCAGCATTATCGGGAGAATAATCAGGCCAGCGCACAGCAGTTGACCACACATGACCACAATAGTATGCTATACCAAAGAGACAAATAATTTTGCTAATGTAGCATCTAGTAAGCTATACCACTGGTCCTAGAGCAGGAAGATATTATTTCATGTACTTCAGAGCTTTATCATGTGACCACATAGATGATACTACTGTCTACCCAATGACTGAATCTCAGGCAAAACTTCTGAGCAGACAGTCCGTTATTCTAGTAATTATCCATCTCACATCCATAGGATAATCGGGTACTTCCTCCTATTTTTCTTCGGTTCCTATCATTGCCAAAGTATAAAGAAACAATCACGACCGGTATCTGCAGATATGGACTTCCCTCACCCAACAGTCTCACCCGAGTATTACTACTAGTAAGCAGCAACAACACTCACCTGACAGCGCCCCAACCCGCATCACTTGATCTCCTGCAAAGTATGAACCCGAACCAGCTGAGTCCGTCCCAATCCCCATGATCTTCCGCTCTCATTCCTCTGATTTCGTCACTTCCATCACTCTAACGCCAAATACAGGATCCCCTCTTATAATCCTCCAATGACCCCATCACATTCATCTCACTCCAACATCATGTGCCCGGCCCCGGAAACCATACCCTACCACCAATATAGTATACAAATGGAACAACCACCCATTCTTTCATCATTCAGGTATGAGAACATTGAAACGATGCGGGACTTGCCGATAATGGATTGTCGAAGATCGTTGTATACTGTGTATTATATATTCTTGTTTTGCCCCTGAGAGAATGGCATAGTAAGCTCAACGCTATTTTTGTTCTGGATACTACTCTTCTCTACTCTCCACTCTATACCACCATACACGGAACTAGTATAGCACTCTCTTCCCACCTCACCCAACTATCAGATC